TTGATATTACAACATGGAATATGAGTACTACATTTACTGATCTCTATTTAGAAGCCACTTGGATTTCTGAAGACAAAAGGATGTGCTGTCCCTTCCCGGGGGACCGCTGCTCTCTCAACTTTAGGTGGTATTACTTGAGTATTATTTATGACTGAGTGACTGTGGCTTTGAAAACTGTTTACTTGGATGTGTTTCTTTTTAACTTTCTTTTTGGACGTCCATGTTAATGGTCAGGAGCTTGACCTCGGTACTAGGAGATCCCTTCAGACACAAAATGCTGTGAAGTGCTTTTAGCTGCAGAGAGAAAGGCTTCTGCAGGGTTTAGACTGCTGCAATACTGTGGAAGAAATCTTTTCCAATTTTCTAGGTTTCTGTAAATAAATGAATTGCATGATTATAAAACGTTATGATGGAAAATATGTTTAAGAAACATTAGTGTGAGCAGAGGCAGGGACTGCACAAAAGAGCTGTAGTACATTTAATGCCCTAGTTACGTGTATTGCACAAGTCCCGCTTTCTGGAGCTGGATAAACAGAACATCTTTCTCTTTCTATTCTAAGCCTCTGTCCCCCCCCTTTGCAAGCCACTTCAGTGGTACAATAAATGGAAATCTTACTTCCTGCCTCTGCAGACCTATTTACCTGAATGTCTGAGCTCACCCTTGGCTTTCTCGGGCCTATACTTTGTGAAATAGGCTTTTACTTTCATGTTCTGCCTTCGTTGCCCTCATTTTTAAAAGCCTTCCCTAATCCTGCACTCAATGTACTTTAATCTGCAGTGTTTTACTTCGCCATCCTCAGGGCCACCTTGCAACGTTCATCTCTCAGATTTATGTTTCTTTCTGTTGTGAGTTTAAATCCTTTTTCAGTCTGTGATACTGACAATAAAGGTTAAAATAAGGTTCTTTTATTGAAACTCCACCAATTTAAAATGTCTTATTAGATGGTTTATTCTCTTTGGTTCCATTATCTTTGCAAACTGTGACTTGGAGTCTTACCCCTCTTTTGTGTATATATTTTAATTTTTATCTATTATATACATGGAGGATTTTATAAAAGTTTACTTGTACCCGTGTACATGCACATGTATATATGTTGAATGAGTAATAGTTTATATAATTTGCAAAACCTAAAATATTTACTGTTAAGGCACAAATGTTTATCCCCAAAATGTATATATATTTAACACATTTAAAATGTGTGGATTTGGGACTCTGTTTTCACCAGAGTTTTTAAATGGAAGGACTATATTAGTATGCTGGAGCTAGGCAGCTGGTTGCGGGGAGTTTCTGGCCCCTTTCCTTCTGGTTAATAACCAGGCCCCAGCCTATTATCTGTGACATGGTGGGATTGAACCCTGTGGCTGTCAAGTGTGTAAATGCTCCTTGGGCAATACCTGCCTGTAAGCAGGAGGGGTCCTGGTGAGTCGCTGGCCACTGAAGGCGCGCTTTCTGTACCCCGGTGAGTACGCGCTGTCCTCCTGGCTTGGGCATTTCTGCTGCAGCCACAGGAAGATGATTGAAATGTGTTTCCCATCATTTAATTGAGGTGGGTAATAAAATAGATTGCAGTTAAAGTAAAACAATGTCTATCAAGGCTGAAAAAAAGATGCCAGCCATGCTGGTTGTTGCAGTGAAACGTCTTTCATTCCTCTTAAACCTCTTTAAGCATCTGCAGAGGAATGTTAAATCAACCGGAGAATTTCTGGTGTCATGTTGCCCAGGACCAGTATACTATTGTTCCTGTGGATGCTCTTAAGAGATTTTCCCTTTCTGCCTCTGGCGGCAAGAGATGCTCTGGGCTTTCTTTGACCTTAACTTCTTGTCCTGGGCAGTTACAGCTAAAGCTCCAGGCTGGAGTGCTGTCTCTAGCGTCTGAGCTGCTGGGTCACCCACTTGGTGCTTTGTGTTTCCTGTTCATCCCTATAACTCCCGCTGCTCTGTGCCTTGCTGATACACGGAAGCTGGAAGTTCGTTTCTGGCAAACCAAACAAGGCGGCATGTTTGGGACAGATGTAATAGTTTGATGCCAAAATTAGTTGAAATAAGAGCTGGCCGGATAGCTCAGCAGACTAAAGTGCCTGCTTCAGCGGAGCCCAGTGGCTGGGGTTCCATCGCTGGTTTGCCATGCCAGCCCTGCCCGCTGGGCTCCCTGAGAAGGCCATTGAGACTGGGCATGGTGGTGCGCGCCTGTAATCCGGCACTTGGGAGAATCACTACGAGTCTGATCTATGTAGCGAGACCCTGAACACCCTGTAGACCCTACCCTAAATACAGGAAAAAAAAAATTAAGTTGAAATAGGAACTCATCCCCTCCAAATCCATCTCTGGGTCTCATTTTTATTCCAATCTGCATAAAATTAAAGTGCCAGAGACCAGCTGCTCCAGAGGCTGAAGGTCCTCACGGCTACAGCATGCTTTGGAAATTCATTCCCACCAGATCTGCAGTTAATGAAAATATTTGCTTTGCTTGATATAAACAAAGTTTATGGGCAGAATCTGTAATTAGGAAATGTTTTAAATCTTTACCTTTCAAGTCTTACTTTTTCTTGTGTGTGCTGGAGAAGTCTTAAGTGAGAAAAGAGGCATTTGTCAGTGATCAGCTCACATTTTAAATTTCTGGTGGTGTTAATACGTCTTCTCCCTTCTTCTGTTTTTGCATCCTAATTAAGGGACTTGAAATCTGAGTTTTTTATTTACATATAGGTCAGAAAGTCTTCTGAGTAGGTAGAGGACTGTGCTTTGTGGCCTGTCAGGCCACCCTCCAGTCCTTTGAGATAATTAACTTTTTTTTTTGGCATACCAGGGATTGAACTCAGGGCCCTGTGCTTGCCAGGGAAGCATTTATCCTACTGAGCCATCTCCCCAGCCTCCCTATAGTCTTTTGATAAGCCAGGCCTGTGACTTAGATAATAGAACAGCAGTGTAGCTCTCTTCAAATACATAGAAAACCAGTCCACTTCTTGAGGGTGCCGCCACGTCCTGATGTTACCCCAGGGGCTGTACGCTGTGCCTCAGCTCTCCAAGATTTTGTCCTCTAGCATTTCTTACTTCAGCATCCATGAATTGGGGGATCTGGACTCTGTTCTTGCAAGTATAGCACCAGCTTACTTTTTTTTTTTTTTGAAACAGAATCTTGCTAGCTTGGCCTCAAGTAGTTGGAATTAGAAGTGTGTGCCACCAGGACCACTTCTGTCTGTGTTGTTTACATGACAGCTAGGTCATGGTAGGGAGTGGTCATGAGAATAAGATATTCAGTCAGAGAAAATGCCTGACCTTCTGTTCTCAGGTGTCTCTTCTGAGCAGTTGGCATCTAGCACCAGTAGGAATTGGTAGTATGGTATAGCCCCAGCTCTGCCTGGAGATCTGTTTCATTACCAGCCAAAGCAGGCAGTCAGAAAACTTCGTGCACTAGTAGTGTCAGCAAAACCTCAGACTGGCACTTCTGGTCCTGGGAGTTGGTGACTGTGGTGTCTTACGGAGTAGGGGAGGGTTATAAAGGTCTAGAAGGGGGCCATTCGTATCCACATAGACTGCATTAACTCTGCCTGCTTCCCTCCCTTGGGGATTGAACTCTGTCTTGGGCATTCGCTGTGAATGTCCTTGTTTCTGTAATCCAGTGAAGATTTTCTAATAATTCTGGCTGTTTGTCCAAAGGCCAGATATTTGAGCAATTGCAGATAAATGTTTAGTTTCCCAAGTCTGTCTTAAACCCCAATTACCTTTTTGACTTTGCCAGCTTGCCCATCAGACCTCAAGGCTTTTCTGTTCACAGCTCTGCTAACTGAGAGTTGTCTTTGAGCGTGAGGCATGAGCACGCTCCCTGCTTTGTGGTGGTGGAGAGCACTCCCCTGCTCCATGAGTCCTAACACAAAAAAAGCATAGTGATATGGTTTGGAACTTGAAAGGTTTGAGCCACATTCCTTTTTTGAGCCATGTAGTTGAAAGAAATGAGAGTCTCTCTTTCTCTTTCTCCCTTCTTCCCTCTCTCCCTTTCTCTTTCTCAAAGCCTGTACTTAAGTTTTTGGACTGAGGAAGACCTGGCAAAGACCATTTACTTGGTGTTGTCAGACTGGCTTTGCTTGTAGAAAACTTACACATATCTTTCCAATTCTACTGTCTATAATTTAGAGCTTAAAGATGCTATATAATCTGCAGGATGATGACTTGCCTTTTCCTATACTTCCTCAGTTGCTGCTTCGTACATACTGAGGGAATGTGACTGGGGGAAGGAGCTGTGGGAGGAAACATATTATCTTAGTGCTTGAGGATTACCTGGGTTGGTGGGGGTGGCTGGTCCCAGCCAACATGCTCTCTTCTTTCTACACTGTAATTGCATCTTCTCTATTTTTGGAGAATCTGCCTACTGAAGAATATTTAATTTCATAATAGTAAGCTTTTTGTCCCCAAGGTCATTTAGGGGTTAAGTACCCAGGAAATCTGCTCAGTGGCGGTTTGGGGCTCCTTGAGGGTGAGAGGGTGGGCCCTATTTTATGGGTCATATGGAGCAGAAGACATGGGAGAGCAGAGGGCTGGTGCTGGGAAGGGCTTGGCCAGACTCAGCCTTGTGGGAGAGGAGCAGTAGGAGGTCTGGGAGTTCTGGAGCAGCTCTTGGCTTAGAATCTCTTCCACTGGTACCCACAAAAAACTAATAATCCTCCCCGATAACTTTAGCTGAACTCAAAGCTTCTTGTAGATCATTCATACTTAGTGTTGGTGTAATCTAAGATCCATGACTTACTGGACACATTGTTATGGATGAGACCAGATCAGTTGGGTACTGCGAAACAGGAATAGGGGCAAAATTCATTAATATTTGAGTGCTGCAGCTTGGATTTTTCTCACACAGAAAACAAAAAATTAAGAGCAATAGGGAAAAAGCATTTGAAAGAGATTCACCATTTAATATGTGGGCATCTCCTAAGAATATAGTTCTCAGGAAGTAAGTTTACATCAATCTGCAATGGATGATCTGGCCTAAGGTATTGTCTTTCCACTCTAGGAAGTGACTTCAGTCTGGAGACATCTTCAGCCCTGCCCCCTGGCTGTGGTGGGGACTCCCCTGGGAGCGGTCTTCCTGGAACAGAGGATGCCTATCGGGTGAGCTTGGCCAAAGGTGTCTCGATGTCCCTGCCTTCATCACCCTTGCTGCCTCGACAGTCTAATTTGGTGCAATCAAGATCAAACAAAAAATCCCCAGGTAAACAACACAGTGGTATCCACATGAGCTGTCTTAATGCGTGTGTAGAAATTTAGCAAAATGAATGTGATGAGAAATCTTGGAGGAGGGCATTTTTTCTTTGTTACACTATTTGGAAGAAGAAATTGCTTTTTTTTTTTTTTTTTTTCCTTCCTGTTTTTTGTTTTTTGTACAGGGCTAGTGATGCAGTACTGGGTATCAAACCCGGGTCCTTGTTCCTGCCCCCAAGGACTGCCAAGCTATCTCCCCAGCCCCTCTGTTTATTTTTTGAGATAGGATGTTACTATATAGTCCATACTGGCTTGGCCTAGCTGGCCTTGGACACATAATTTTCTTGCCTCAGCCTCCTAAATGCTGGGATTACAGGTATGATCCCTCATGGCAAGCAGGGATTTCTTTTAAAAGTACAATTTTTAAATAGACTTACTGCTGTAATTTAACTTTCATATATGTTGTTTTGATTGCTTAGGCTCCATTTTTACAAAGATTCAAAGTCTTGTTATTTATGCCTGTAATTCATACTTGCTATTTGTACCATTAGTTTTGTTGGTTTCTTGTTGATGAATTAAGCACCGTGGACTGAACTTTCATGAGCGTGTTTAAGAGTTTAGGTTAGATAAGTGTCATGTGTGTTCATTACTACCAAACATGTACTGGTGTATTTTACTTGGTTACATCACCCGGTGTTTGAACAGCTGTAAAACATAATTGCTTGTGAAAACTCAGACTTGTGGGCCGGGGATATGGCTCAGTGGTGTAGCACCTGGCAAGTGAAAGGTCCTGAGTTTGATTCCTGGTACCAAAAAGCAAAAAAGCATAAAACCCTCAGACTTACAAAGGGATGTGGCTAGAGACTTACTGATTACTTGTGCCCTTAACTTTAAGAGGTTATAATTCAGATGTGAGGAAGGCCCTTTCAGGTGCTCATGCCTGGAATCATAATAGTTCTTTGGTACACTTTTAGATTGGTTGAATGTTCGCTTACAAAAGGCAGGAAAATTGGGGGCTTCATTGATCATGTGCCAATGCCAAGATTCTTCTTATTACATGTAAACATATTCAGAATTTATCTAAAATGTGCCCTGAGGCTGTGAAATTAATTAGTTTCTGTTTTCTTAAATATTTATATTTCTTGAAATGACACACATTGTTTCTGAATCATTAATTGGATGGTCAAGATTTATGTGGGGTAAAATTAGGGCCAACCCTTAAAGCTTTGAATTTTAGAAATGATATTATGGCTTTTTTTTTTTTTTTTGAATTTGGTGAGTGTCCAAAATCTTTTATTGTTCTAGACTTTTCTTATTTTGAACAATATTGTTTATAGTCTGGTCATTAGCTGAAACTTGGAAACCTTTTTGGTATGAAGTGATTTCCTGTGCCAAGGAATCTGACCTGTTTATCAGTATTTGGGGAAATTCCTGGAATGTCCTTGCTTTTCTCGCTGCCCTCCCCACTGCTGTATCTCTCTGTCAGATGTCTTCTCTTCCTTTAAATCTTAGTTCCCACACTGCCTGTCTTGCTGGGTTAGCCTATTTTCCAAAAATTATGCACAGCATCTTACTTTTCTTTATTATTAGTTAGATCATTTGCCCTGTTCACTGCAAACTCCTGAACCTCCTCCCAGGCCCATCTGTGCATTCCCTTGTAAAATCCACTTTCAGCCAAGACACCTACTCTGTCACTTTAGCAAGAACCTCCTTCTCTCCAATCTGACCAGTTACTTCAACCTTCACCATCCCTGGGTAATGCCTGATCATCCTGGCTTGTCTTAACAAGAATTCTTTTTAGCCAAAGTCCTTCTGCCCTTCACTCCTGAGTTTTCTTCTTCGTAATTTTCCTTTCCTTTCCTTTCCTTTTCTTTCCTTTCCTTTCCTTTCCTTTCCTTTCCTTTCCTTTCCTTTCCATGTATTTGATACAGGGTCTGCAGGGTTTCATTAGGTAGATTGGATTCATAGTGATCCTCCTATTTTCAGCTTCCCAAGCACTAGGATTACAGGTGACTCAGTCACATTCACTGTCTCAGTGAGCTCCTGGGGCGGGTCTGGCCCAGCACGCTGGGGATGGAACCCTTTCTGGCCTCTGCACACTGCCCAAGCAGGCGCTTTAGTTCGCTGAGCTATCTGGCTGGTCTACTCTTTGTAATTTTTCATTTACTGACCCCCAACTTGCTTCCTGGCTGTAAATTCCCCATTGGCCTTGCTTTATTCAGAGTTGAACCCAATCTTCTGTTGTAGGCAGCTAAGTTAGATAGAAATATTATAGGCAATTAGACAGGGCTAGGCTCTCAAAGGACCTGATATGGAAGACAAGATACCTTGCAGCTGTGGGAAAGATGGGCACTCCTGCTGTGAGCCAAGCCTCAAGACAAAATATTAAATAAATGCAGCCACATACCTCCCTAGGGATGGACATCAGGGATTGATATTCTAAGGAAGTATCAGTCACCTTGAAGTAGGCAAAAAGAGTCACTAACCCAACCCTCTAGATGAAAAGCCCCTGTTCTGTTTTCATGCTTTTCCATTTGATCCTAGTGTAATCAGTTTTACCTCAATAATTATGCTTGTCATCTCATTGGTGGACCACAGTTTTGTCCCACCTCATGCGAGTTCCCATGTTTCCCACCTTGGACCTGCCTCACCTTGTGGATTTGCTCTATTAAAATCCCTAGGAAAGGCCAGTTCCTTGGCAACCCACTTGGGTCCCCTTCTGTCTCTCTGTTGGACAGAAGGCCCCCCTTCTTTGTTCCTAAAATTCATTCTTTGGATTTAGAGAACATGAACTTGTCCCAGGTATCTTTCAGATTGTGAGTTTCTTTCCCCTGTATCAGTTCTCCCCAGCTGCAAAATCTTACTGCCATGGTCCCAGCATCTGCATCTGAAAGAAGTGTGAGTTGCTGTGCTTTCCCAAGTGTCACTGAACAGTTTATTCTTTGGTAGTACATCTGTGCTTTCTGTCTCTGATGGTACAGGACAGGCAGGATGTGTTATTAAAGTACAAGCACAAGGTTCTGAGTTGATTCCCAGTCCCCAAAAAAGTATACTTTATCTATGTAAATTAGATAATTCTGAGAACCTCCTTTTAGATTTTTTTTTTTTTTTTTGCGGAACCAGGGATTGCACTCAGGCCCTTGCGCTTGCCAGGCAAGCGCTTATTCTACTCCGCTATCTCCCCAGCCCTGAGAACCTCTTTTGAACCTTAAGGGACCTCAGTTAAGGCAATGCCATGGGCTGAGATTTGACATTTTGCACAAACATTTCTTTTGTCTGTGCTATTGCAAGTGAAGTGACGTTGTTTGAGCCTTAGGACATGGAAACACCTGAGAGACTCCAGCAAATACATTTTAGATATAATTTCATTATTAATAAAAAATTCAGACTGATTTCATGGGGTTTTGGATAGCAGTAAATGGCTTGGCAAGCCTGGAAAGAGTGGCAGTCCAGAAGGGTTTCATGGGGGCTTCTGGAATGTGGACTGAGAAATCCTGAAGCTTATCTCCTTATGTTCTTGGACCAATATTAGGTATTTTTGATTTTGAGAAAATAACCTAAGGTTTTTTCTCTGTAGAAGTGAATTTATTTCTGCAAAATTCTTTGGCCTTATGAATAGAAGGGCATAGTGGTTCTGTACCATTCAAGCTTCATTTGATTGAAAAAAATATCTTCCATCTTAGATGTTTTTGATGCAAATGGTAATGGATTAATCTAAGCAGCTATATCTCTAACAGAGCGGCTCTTGAGTGCTGCTTAAATTTGTCCCGCAAATTAGTGTCTCACAGTGATGATTTGGCTTCATTATCTTGATAATTTTAATTTGAATAGAAAAGTTAAGGGCAAATATGCTTGTATAAAAATGGCACTGACTCAGAATACATTAAATGATGAACACTCTTATTTCTGCAGTCTCTTAACACATACATTTCTGCTTAAACCATATTGTTGGAAAAATATCTGGAGCCCTAATGTTATACCTGCCTGTTTAAAGAAAAAAAAAGTTGACATATGGCTGTGAACGTGCATTGGATTTAAAAATATCCTTCTATTTTAGAAGCTAGCACTGTGCTACTAATCATACAGTGAATAGTGTGACTGCAGCTCCCAGAAGACTTTGAGCCCCTCCTCCTCCTCAGGTCCCCACCCCTCTAGCAGAGTAAGCCACTTAGGCTTCTTCAGGGCCTATCCCTCAGACCCACCTTTGAGAGTCAGGACCCATGAGTTTTGTTCTGATAAGAAGAATTAGACCCCTTTCTCTGTCCTATTTAAGAAGGTGATTTACAAAACCCACCAAACCTGTTTTACTTGTTTAGGTAGAAACTCTTCACTAATTGTTGATAATCCGGAAACTGTCAAGAGCTTGCAACAAGGGAGGGTCAAATACTATAAACTCCTGTGCTGCTGAAATTTCTTTGGATACAATTAGTGATTAGATCCTGGATCTTGGAGATCTGGCCAAGAGATGATGCCACTAGCCTTGCATTACTGTGACCCTGTGTCTTGCTTGCTTTTCACGCACCCTCCTTTTACATCAGGATGTATTTTTATTTATCCTTCTGCCACTTCCCCCATCTGTGTGCATTTTCCCCACTCCTAGTTGGAAGATTCTGTTTTCTAAGTATTTGAAAATTTTTGGTGTTTTTGTAAATGGAGAATCCATTTTCTAGTCATGAAAATGAGGACCAGCATCCATTAAAGTAGCTCTGTGACTGTTGCAAGCCTTTTGGATTAAGATTTCATCAATATTTGTAATGTATTCTTTTGCCTTCCAGAGACAAGAAAGGCTCATTTCCTGTGCTTTATTTATTAGTAATATCATTAGTTAGTTTTATATTTGTATTCTTTTTCCCGGATCACTTTGTGCCCATTTTAAAATAGTCAGAAAGGTTGTGCATGAATGAGGAGCAGCCTTTTGAAATACAGAGATGGGTACAACAAAAAATGGTGACAACTGAATGATAACTTTTGAACGTCCCTAGTGTGAAAATTCTCCATAATCTAAAATTA